GGTTTCTAATACAGATTTTACAGTATTTAGAAGAGTTTATTTTACTGCTTTTTTTGAACCACAGCTAGATTATTGAGAAATCTTAGTTGTTCCGAATTTTACCATCAGAGTAGGACATTGGTAACTGACCAGACGCTAGGAGGGTAGTGCTGTACTGTCTGAGTGCATATTTATGGCAATCTTGTGATAACTATATTATTATACATCTTTTTCTGCTTATAGTAATTACTGGCTGATCCGGAAATTCGGTAAGAAGGGGGTTTCTTATTGACGTATGCGCACGTCCGGTGGGCTGGGTTTGTCAATTTTTTTTTTTGAGGGCTGAAGGGGCGAGGACTCCCCCTAAATCTGTGTGCGGTAATAATGAGAGATAACACCCAGAAATAACAACAAAGTTTTCACATTGTGCGATGTTTACATTAGTGACAAGACTGTATTTCTATCAACATGCTAATTCTGAATCTGAAGTAAACAAACAAAAATGTTTGCATATGATGCATATGATGAAAATGTGATGCAAAATTTGCAAATAAGACATTAAACACGTCCATAACACTTTCGAGCATGTCTGTACAGCATTTTCAGACGGCTGAATTCTATTGTTTTCGGTGCTAAATGTATAAAAATGTGATGTTGTATTTCAAGTAAAAATTATTATTGCCATATGCTGTCCTGCAGAATATGAATCAATTCTGTGTTTTATTACGATACTAGGCTAAACAAGCTTTATGGGTGGGATTTTATTAAAACTCAACTCATTTCAGATTGAGAGAACTGACGCATTCAGAGAGCGGGAGTACTCAGCTTGAATAACTCACCAGTATGACAGAGCATGCACACAAAAGAAATAAATTGATTAAATTAATTTTCAATACAATTGCAACAGTGACGTGTTGACAGCTATAAAATGTGGATATTTACCCTGAATCAACAAATACATAAAAATAGGTTTCCTGCAAAAAGGTTAATAGTACCGTATATCCATACAAGTTTTTTCCAATAACAAAGCTTTCTGAAGATATATATATAATAGGACTTCTTAAGGCCCTCTTGCCCATAACCCAATCCTGTCTCTCCCCTTTTTTCATTGCATATGTCTTTAGGAAATGTGTTATTATTCTTTTTACTGTAAAATACTGTATGTTCGCCTGGATTCAGTGAAAATAAAAGCCCATCAAATATACAGTTTTTCATTTATCTTTTATTCAGCTCGTCAAAAATCAGTGAAAATAAATTCCATACAAGACAGCCAATATGTCTTTTCAGTGAAAATATTTCCAGCTAAAATAAAGTATTTTACAGTAGATAGTTATTTGGAGGGATGTATAACAATTATCTGTGGAGTTACATGAACCAAAAATGGCAACTGGCTGGATTGTTAAAAATATCTAACATTTGTCCATTAACACATCTGAATTTCTTTAAAATGTAAACATGTGTACAATTGATGGGGCAAATACAGTACACTGCTTTAATTAAAGCGATTTTTGCCCGCATGTAAATACCTCGATTTTTCTCGATATCAAATGGGTTATCCCTTAAAGCGGGAAAGTCGTCGCCAGTGCACGCGCAGGAATTGAGTCCCAAGAAACGATAACAATACACGCTAAAAACGCAAAGGCTCATGGGAAGACACTTGTTTGTAAACAATGACACAATATGGCCATCTGACGCATGCGCAGGTGACGACTCCCCCGCTTTAACTATATGTCAATTATAGAGATTTCCAATAAATGCTGTAATTGGTCAGTTTATTCTCATGATACTGAGCATTCTCGATTTTTATCATCAGGTTAGGGAGCCCTATTTATATTTATATTTTGTGAATTGAGCCACCTAGCACATTCCACATTAATAAATTTGAAAAAAATATGATCTAAAATATCACCAGAAAAAAAAATATAAGATAACAATTTAATCAGTTTTGTTCACACTTTAGATAAATTATCCTGATTGGAGACTGATTTATTGAAAAAATTCCTAAGACTATGAAACCATGCATCAATAGGTTTCTATGGTAACACACATTGTTATTATATCCGAGATTTTACGACTTTATTATATAGCGAGATTTAAACTGGGAGCAATATTTTATTGTTTCTATTAAAGTGCAGACAAAAAGTTTGATTCCCTCTTTAAAAATTGATTAATTGTCTAAATGTCAAGAAGTGCAGCGGAGCATATGAATGTTGCTATTATACAATATCAGCTGTGTACTCAATGGGGTTTTCATCAATGTATTGAAATCATTAAATATTAGCAATCGCATAGTGAATAAAATATGTTATTTCACTATGCTGCGAACAGTAGACATTCAAGCTGATGATACATTTGTAATAAATCTAATTGTAAAAGTGGATTAGGATAATAGTTACGGAAACTTTCACGATGGAGACTAAATGTGAAAAGTGAAACTTGGTAGTAGTAAACATTGCAGTCATTATGTTGGGACTTATGGCAAATTTTTAAGTTATATTGTGAAAATTAAATTATTTACAGTAATTACAGTGATAATGTTGCAGGGTTCGGGGAATGATGATTCGCAAGGTTTGTTTCTGCCGTCTTTCAAATTCCTGCAAATATTTAGAACAGAATCAAATCTTTGTGTTGGAACAAAATAAGAAAGTATTAAAGGTAACTAAAGCATACAATAAAATGGGAAGCCAAAAAAGATAAACCTGTGTTTGTGTGCGCTGAAAAGCATTGACATTTGATTGGTTAATATTCATATATTTTGCATATAAAAAATATAAGAAAAAAGTGCAGAAACATTTAGGCAAGAAAGTCTGGTGGTGAAAGGGTTAATTAATCAAATTGTAATCATTTTGGCTTACTATAAAATTCACTTGAAATAAATTTTTACTATTTTCGCTAGGGGGGTTAAATTTCAGCATATATACCTTTTTTCCTATCTTAAACATTCAAGTCATTTGAAATCAGTAGAAATAAATTCCATACAAAATACCAAAATAATTCAAGCTAAAATAAAGTATTTCACCAAGTTTTTTATAGCTAGATGACAAACTTGAACTGGATTTTGTCATTAGTGATAAATTATTTTTACATTTAACACACAGGGCAAATTAAGTGAGCTCCTGTCATATATACTGAGTACTTTAGATAATCCCCTCTGGTGCCTGTAGGTTTATTATTCTTGTGAGGACCACATAACTTTGTTCATGGTTTCTCCAATTATCATTATGTATAGACACTGAAGCAACGTGAAATGACAAATTAAAATTTCGCTGATTTACCATTTCAGGCATATTCAGTAAGTTTAAAATTCACAACTTTATCATTTAGATAATGTGTTCTATGCTAAATTTTACATATTCACTGGGTTTTTATTCAGCGCATTTTCCAGTCAGTGCAACAAGCAAAATTAAAACCCAGTGAGTAATTAATCTTTTTACAGAAGTCTAGTTTTTGAACATTTCTTGAAATTGTGGTTTTCTATTGAGCGAAAACCGACGGAATTTGTTGCAGTACAAAATGAATCAACACTTTCACTAAAGATCAACTCAGCTGCCTGCTGGATTATTCAAGTCTTGTTTTTCCTCACGTAATTATCATTGTTTATAATCGGGGAAAATAATCACGGTACTGGCAACATCTTTCTTGATCTTAGACTTACAAAAACCCCTCCAACAACATCAACAATAATGGCCAACA